TATTATAATTTCATATATATATATATTTTCATATATATATATATATATATACATATATTGTATATTATTATATAATTTTGTTTTGTGTATAGACATGTCGTATGATAATTAGATATATGAGATTCATCTACATGTGGATATTGTATAATTTTCCTATTTCCAACAGTAAACTCGATCATTCTGTCGATCTGTTTTTTCGTTAACTTTTTAGATTTTTAACTTTTTAGTGTATTTTAAATAACTATTATTTTTAATATTCAATTTTGGATTAAACATGTTCCATTTTAATATTTTTAATATCGAATGGATATATCGTAATTTTAAATTTGTAATTTTAAAACGTCTCAATGTAAAACCGTCGAGCCGTTGCCAGTTTCGATGCATACTTCACTCGATGTTGTTTGTTTTGTTCTCGTCTGTATTAATCTAAGGGCATTTGAAGGTTTAAGCTGCGTGGATAGTAAACGTGATCATACGAGCGCCATTTTCAGAGAGAAGAAGAAGAAGAGTAGTAAATCTAGTATAGGATTGTAGAGATTTGTGCCAATTTGTGTGTGGTACGTGTTTATCATTTCATGTTCAGTATTCTAAATGGATGCGATAAGTAATATGTGTGTGTGTGTGTGTGTGTGTGTGTGCATTTTTATTTACTTTAATATTTGTAGGTTTTACTCGTAAACATGGAATCAGGATATATAATAAGGAATAACGCAAGGATTACTGCGAAGGATATGCCAAATTCAAGTGTATCATCAGAATGCATTTGTTATAGACCACATTCTCACATTATATGCAACGGTTGTGGATTTTGGACTAGAGGAAGAGTAAGATATTGTTGTCCCCAACATCCTAAGGTTATTATTTTATTCGCATCAATATTTTATGTCTTTTTGTCTCTTAATCTTACTTTATTATTAGAGATATAAAACAATATTATTATATGTAGGGCCGGTTGTTCTATTTTCAGATAAACTATGTGATAATTTATCTATTGGATAAACAAAAGAGTAAAAGAATAAGAGTATAAAGAGTAAAGCTGGATTGTTCCATCTTTCGGTAAACTTCAGCTCACTCTCTTACTCTTTTATGCTCTGATTCTTTACTTTTTACTCTTTTGTTTATCCAATAGATAAATTACTATATGGTTCAGCTGAAGATGGAACCGATCTTGTAAGAGAGTTAGACAGTGAGCTGAAGTTTTTTTACTGAAAGATTAAATAATCCAGCCTTAATTAAGTTTAAATAATATATTATTAATGTGCTATCATATTAATATTATTATCCTCAACTTTCTCTTATTTTACAGATTGTTTTTCTACATGATCATGTTCAATGTCCACGCTGTAGGAGCTATGATTTTATGCTTAAAGAGATCTAAAATAAACTTGACTATTTTTGTCAAACGAATTAAAGTTAAGACAAATTAGACAAGTTATAAACATAAGTAAGATAATTAAGTTAAAAGTTGATAAATAATTCATTTAAATGAAGCTTATAATTTTACTATATTGAGTGAGTTAGTGAATGAATAAAAATATATGAATAAATATTGTAAGGTGTAATAGTATGGAACGATGATTTGTTTGGAAAAGACTGAGATATTTTCATATATCTACAACAGGTGATATTGAAAGATGCTTGTGCATTTATATGCATTTATACACGTGCGTGTTTAAAGTCAGAACTGTAAAAATGTTTAATATCTGTTTAATATATGTGGGAGTCAAGAATGTCTTTATTTTTTATCTGTATCTTTCACAGTACATTATCAGAATATTAGTATATTGTTACAAATTGTAACATTGCAAGAAAGTATCAGTATTATTCTAAATTCTAAACTATGATTCTTTATAATATGAAAGTGATAACAAAATGTTTTGACAGTAATGTCAGAAATAATCATAAAATAAGAATAAATAATATATTATTTTAAGAAAGCAACTATAAAACTTTGTATACGATATATTTCAATTGTATTCTATATCCTAAAGAGATTAGCTTCTTTAATTCAAGTGCCTGTAAAATTGTAATATATTGGATGATTTTGATATATAATTACATGTTTGAAAAAATATTCTTGCTAAACATGTAAAATTTATGTAATATATTTTGATTCTTAATATACAATACATAAAGAGCTTTTGAGAATAGGCATTACGATAGGAGGATAAATAAATGAGATAAAAACTGCTGATTATTTTTAAATATCTTGAATGTCTTATTCATCGATATAACATGCAATGACATCGATGAGATATTAAAGACGGCCCGCCCTGGAGGCTGGGACCTCTATTCTTGAAAAAAAATGTATACTAGAAAGAAACCTGAAAGAAGACGTGAGAGCCTTTTTCTTGTAACTGCAAAATACGCACTACTGCCCTCTGAAGAAGTGGATATTAACATATGACGCACTAGTGTCATAGTATAAGCCATGGAGGATGGAGACTAAAACTTTGTGTCCACGAGTACTAGTAATCAGTCCGAGACCTCGGATGAAGAAAGAATTAACCAATCGCAATGGTCATGCAATCAAATGTGATTTGTTAATTTGTTCTCTGTTCGAGATCTCGCACAGATTTCTAGCACCGTGGACATCGGGCTTAAAGAGACCGAACTAGAGTTTGAAAAGTGTGATCAAAATCAAGGAGTCGATTGTGTATCTTAAAATATTGAGTCATCTAAAAAGTATCCGCGGTACTTTGTCACTAGATATATGACCATCAACACATCTAGTGACAAAAAACCGCGGATACTTTTTAGATGACCCAATAAGATAAAAATTGCAAACGTGAGCAAATTCACTAATTATTGACCAATTAAATTATAAATATTTTAGTGAATTTGCTCACTTTTAATTGTAATTTTCACCTCATTTCGAGATACAGAATCGACCCCTAGATTTCTGAATTGATATTGGTGCTCGATAGTGGCGTTCGATTCGCAAAACTCCTCATATACGTTTACGCACACACAACCGAACACACATAACCTAAGGTAATAGGGATGTTATTCATTAGCATGCTCTGACAATAACAGAAAGAAATTCATATAAATTGTCATTAGAATTGCATGAAGAATGAAGCATTCTTCATGTAAACTGGATATAACTTACCATGCAAACTGCGAGAACGATGTCGTTAAAGTTCCTCTAGTAAAAGTTAAGGACTCCGCACAATAAAAGGAACAGGGAATAGAGAACAGAGAATAAGAATTTCAATCTATCAGAAACTGTGTATTCCACAATACATGATTTCTATAGGTTGAAATTCTTATTCTCTGTTCTCTATTCCCTGTTCCTTTTATTATGCGCCCTGTTCCTTTTATTATTAGTCCCTTAAAGTTAAGAATTAAGACATAAGACTGAAAAAACGCCATTGCCGCAACAGTGGGTGGCCGCAAACAGCACAATTTCATCATGGTTAACAGTTGATAGACTGATTTCGTGTTCGCGCCTTTTACATCATGAAACAATTGCTCACACCAAATCTATGAATTGCTCACACAGATTCACTATGTATCGAAAGTATCTGTAAATGGCAGCGTTTAAAGGGACTCGAAATCTGACCAATCAGAGATTGATACTCCTTATGACTTGACTCTTTACTAAAGGGTGATCGACTCTAGGGGGTCGATTCTGTATCTTCAAACAAGGTGAAAATTACAAAAATAAACAAATTTATTAGATGTTGACCAATGAAATTATTAGTATTTTAATAAATTCGCTCATTTTTGTAATTTTCATCTCGTTTCAATATATAGAATCAATCCTCAAGTATCGTGGAACAAAAGCGATCTCGATCGAACCTAATTCAGATGACCACTTTTGAACACGCTTTTTGACCTCGTCCATGGGTGCTTTCCAATTGCAATGGGTGCTTTCCAATTGCAATATCCCTAGACACTTTCGTGCACACGGCGATACAAGTTGCGTTCCAATTGCCCGTTATCGTCGTACGCGCGTATTCGCGTATCGAAGAATCCGATTAATTGATTTATTCCATCATTTTACGGTGGAACGCGACAATTTTGTTCCTTATGTCCCATGCAGCGAATCGTGCATAAACGGATTGGCGATCCGCTAACTTATCAGAAACTGTGTATTCCACAATATATGATTTCTGATAGGTTCTGATAGGTAAATTCTTATTCTCTGTTTTCTGTTCCCTGTTCCTTTTATTGTACGAAGTCTCTTATGCTTACGTAAATTACGTCTCATGTGACGGCACTCTCAGTGATCTAATTTCCATCGAGGGTTTAAACAGGATCAGAATGTAAGAACCAACCAACTACAATCGAGCAACTACAGTTTCCCTGTTGTTCGATTGTAACAGAGAAATACTCGACTGTAGTTGGTTCTTAGGATAAAATCACACGATGCGGAAAACGATTGCGGAATAGAGAATGCGTTATAAAAGCAACCAATCAGCATTATTCTGAGTTATTTCGAATAAAAAATCATATATTGTGGAATACACAGTTTCTAGGTTGAAATTCTTATTCTCTGTTCTCTGTTCCCTGTTCTTTTTATTGTACAGAGTCCCTAACCTGCAGATTTTAATAATTTTACTAAAATACATTATATTTTATTGGGTCATCTAAAAAGTATCCGCGGTTTTTTGTCACTAGATGTGTGTTGATGGTCATATATCTAGTGACAAAGTATCGCGGATACTTTTTAGATGATCCTATACTTTTACATTCTGATCTGGTTTAAACTCTCGGTGGAAATTAGACTAGTGATTTATTGGATGCATTCGGTACTATGATTACTCACTGAGCGCTCAGTGAGTTCTTGTATCTGTTTGATCTATATTTTTAAATCTAACGGAATATGCCAATCAAAGGTAAGAGCTGACTGAGCGCTCAGTGAGCAGTTGTAGTATTGAATGCATCCATTGAATTCTTCTATAAGCGAATATGCGCTATTTTCTATGACGATACGCGTCATGGAACGTCACCCTAAGGGTGAAATCACATAGTACAGAAAACGACTGCGGAATAGAAAATGTGCATAGAAGCAACCAATCAGCGTTATTCTGCGTTATTCTAAATAGCGCTAATTGATTGTTTCAATGACGCATTCTCTATTCCGCAGTCCTTTTCCATACCGTGTGATTTCATCCTTAGGGTGTGTCCAATAAACATCAAGCTGGTTCGACTGTGATTGGGCCGCAACGCTTGCAACACGCTTACGACGCTACGATGCGATTAATGTAGAACCAGCTTAAAATTGATATTAAACTGGTTTTACATTAGTTGTAAGCCGATCGCAAGTTTCTTGCGACAGCCAATATGAAACGTTAATTTCAAAATGCAAGCTTCAGATTGGCTATCGCAACAAACTTGCGATCAGTTTACAACTAACCGGTAGAACCGGCTTAGTGTAGAACCAGCTTTAGTGTCGCTAGTGTACTGGGCTTCCAAGCGTCACACAAAAAAGTCGAGATGGCCGCTCTCAGGTTTCTCTCTAGCCTAACCTAACCTAACTTAATCTTAAGTTTTAAATGCAAGTGTAATTACCCAACAACAGGCACTTTAGATAAAATGGTGTTGTGCTTTTGTGAATTTTATCATTACTGAATGGTAAAAATTGTTTAATAATTATCAGGGAACTGTTATTTTATTACTGCGAGTAATAATTATAGAAATACTGTAGATTCCATGGCATTTCCACTAAATGACCAAGTCTATACAAAATCCTTTACTCCCAGGGAGTACGAGGTAATAAAGTTACTTTAATTTTAATGACTTTAATATGATTGAAAGTTTGAGAGTTATACATACATACATACATATTTATATGTGTGTGTGTGTTGTGTGTATGTTGCAACATTTGCAATATATATATTTTATATATATATATATATATACATACATACATACACACATATGTTACACATTGTAACATTTATTTGTAGGTAGAACTTCTTTATGCAGCAAAAGAAAAAAATATAATTGTTTGTTTGGGAAAAAATTCCGAGCAAACCTTTCTTTCTATAAAATTGATTCAAGAGTTTGCTACCAACAATAGAAGGTAATGAAATGTTTCCATTTGTTTCAACAAACTCTATTGAGTTATTTTTCAAGAATAGTAACAAAATGTTTAAATATGAATAGCCCATAGCTTTATACAAAGTATCTCAAGTATGTTTATTAAATTTAATCCTTTTTTCGTTATAAATGCTCAAATCAAATATTAATTACAATATATTTATAAATTAAATATGAATCTATTTTTTCCTTGCATAGATTAGTAAGTAATGGTGGAAAACGAGCGATCTATATATTAAATGACAAAGACAAATGTACAATAATAGGAACTTATATAAAGCAATTAACAGATCTGAAAGTATTAGCGTGTGATTCTGGTGTACTTGAGGGATTTGACAAAAGTTTTGAAAGTTCCCACGTAAGAAAAAATTATTGTAAAATTATTTACTGTTGTTAAAAGAAAATTTATTACAAGTATTTTCTTATACATTTAATTTTATACATATTTATAGGTATTAGTTGGAACGTCAAAAGTCTATGCACAATTAATATCAGAAAGCAAACTTTTACCATGTCACATTAATCTAGTCATAGTAGATGAGTGCCATAAGTCTATTGAAGATAGCAATTTAAAGTTTGTCCTGCAAACTTTTCTATTGTGCAACAATGTTCCTAGAATAATCGGATTAGCGGTACCAGTGTTTAATTTGACACAAGAACCTGGAAGATTAGGCTTAGAAATAGAAAAAGTAGAGGCTGCTTTCCAGTGTGAAGTAGAAACCGCTAATGATATTCTGTCAATAATACGGTAAGTTTAATAATTTGCTGACAATGTCCTTTCGCTAAACAAACTAATGTGAGAATTATTTGTATATGCAGTTATAGTCCAAAACCAAGAGAGTATGTTGTGGAGTATGATAGAGGAGAAAAGAAAGACTTGTATGATACGCTTAAAAGTTGTGTATCACATGCAATTGAATTTTTACGTGATCATCGGTATGATCCAATGGAAATTTATACTGAAGAATTTTATGAGGATATTCAAAAAATTCCTGATCCCATACAAAAGCCCTTTGAGATGATGCAAGATTTTTTGCATATATTAGAAACTCTTGGACCATGGTGTGCCGATCGTGCTGCTTTAACATTGCTATTTTTAACGGAAAAATTGAAGATCAAAACTCCTTACGAGAGACATTATCTTTTATTAAATATGATAACATCTGTTTTTATAAAAATTCGGTAAGTATTGTAATAACGATGATGATATTGACACCTATGTGCTAAACGCAGTTAGGGAGTTTAAGATATTGTATAATTTTGTACGTGTGTGTACACATACACGAAAATTATGATCTTTTACAGTGCCCTTTGTGATAATGAATTTCAACATTTGTCTGAGAAAGAAAGGATATATCAATATAGTACTCCAAAAGTTCATCGATTATTGCAAATCTTAAAAATTTACACTCCTTTTTATATTAAAGAGACTACCACTCCAGAGAAAAAGGCAAGTGCTGGTAAGAATCTTTTCCAATTTATAAGATTTACATGAAGAGCATACAGTAATATATTTGTACTTTTAATGTATAAAAATATACTATATTTTTCTCAGATATTAATTCAAAAAATTGTATCACAAAAAGTGACAAAAATATTTCTTTCTCGAGAACTCAGGAAAAACCTATGCAGTTGAAAAAGTTAGGAGGTAATTGGAGATCTAACGATGATAATTACAAAAAACCGTTCAAATTGCAACGTTACTCTTGCAGTGGTACAGATCCCGATCTGCTTTGTGGAGTAATTTTTGTGGATAAGGGATTTACAGCTAAAATTTTATTTTACTTATTAAGCGTATGTATAAATCTTATTACAAATTATCATGTATCAACGCATGAATTTTTTAATATTAATTTTCTTATAGGAAATATGTAAACATGACGAAGATTTGCATTTTTTATCACCTCTTTATACAATTGAAAGAAATACTGATGATGTTGGTTATTCGAGAGATCTAGAAATGGGACATAGGAAACAGGAAGAAGTCTTAAAACGGTTTAGAATTCATGAGTGCAACTTATTGATTGCAACTTCAATCTTGGAAGAAGGTTTGTAATTTTTTTTTTTTTAAATTGAGTTTCATTTCAAAGATTTGTAGATCCAGGATTTAAGAACAAAAAAAAAAGAAGTTTATGAACAAATGTTTGATTTTGTATTTTTAATAAATATTTTTTATTTGTATATTTTTATGATACGTTTTATAGTCTTCTTTTTTTTTTGTACTTGCACTCTACACTTTTTTTTAAAGAACCATCTACCATGATTTGATAGAGAGATGATCATTTTCTTACATGTTCTAAAGGCATTGATATTCCAAAATGCAATTTTGTAATGAGGTATGACTTTCCGAAGAATTATCAGTCATATATACAATGCAAAAGTAGAGCAAGAGCCATGGATGCCTTGCATGTATTATTGGTGCCACAAGAAGCATCTAAAGAATTTATATGGCAGTTGGCTCAATATCAATATATAGAAAAGGTATAACTTATAAAATTCATTTATAATTTCCTTATAAAACTTCAATAAAATTTCAGTGTTTTGTAAGGCTCTTATTATCTCTCGAGCAGTTACATCGAATTAAGACATTTTAAGACATTGCAAGGAAATATATAAATTTTTTCTTATTATATAATAATATGTATGTGGAAGTAAAATTTGCTTGTTTTTTATATTTACTTGCATTTAATAGCACAGATTGATAAAATATTCCCTTTTTTCTTATTATCTTGCATTGGTAAATACATAATATCAACTATAATTAATAATATAATTTAAACTACATTGTATTTTACACTTCTAAGGGGCTTATTCTGTAACTCTTAACGACTGTAATATTATAGTTACAGTCGTTAAAAGTTACAGAATAGGTTCCTAAATTTTGTTTTCTTTCAATGGACATACATACATACATATCTCATAACAATCGATATGTGACAATAGACAATTTAAAATTATTTTTTAATCCACAAAGAGAGTTTCAATGTTATAAATATATATTATTCACTGACATTATCGAATCCATGTGATGCCAAAAAAAAATGAAAAATTTATTTCGGTAATGCAGGAAAAAAAGGTCTTGTGATTTCTTGCATCTGCTATCGCAATTCACAGTACGGCTGAAGTGAGAAAAAAGGGGAATTTTAATTCATATTATTCGGGCTTATCTTTCCAAATTGCATACGTGTTATTTGATTTATTCATCAACTTTAGTGCGTACCAGTTTTATTATCAACCTTTAATGTGGTTCATTATCTGCGCCAACCTCAGTCGAAAATTATAATGGAAGAGCATCAATCTATTTTGTAGACTTTATTATTAAAATGTTCTAATAAAGAGCTGACTGAAGACGAAGAGAATGAAGCAGATATGTATGCTGCAATGATACCACATTACAAACCACTTGATGGTGATGATGCTCCTAAAGTAACTTTTAATTCTGCCATTTCGCTAGTTAATAGGTAACGTTTAATTAGTTAATAGGTAATGTAATGTTTTATATTATTAATATACTTAGTGAAAAGTTGTACGAGTACAGTATCATCGCATTATTCAAAAAGTTTAATCGGTAGTAAATAAATGTTTTAAATCATGCAGGTATTGTGCGAAATTACCTAGCGATACTTTTACGAGATTAACACCAGAGTGGCGTATTGAAACAGTGAATATTCATGATATAATGATGTATATTTGTTTTCTACGACTTCCCATAAATTCACCATTGAAATATGTAATTACGGTAAATAGTTATACATATATGTGAAATACAAAATAAGAAATATTATAGCATTAGATATTTTAGTTTATTTGATTGTCTTAGAGATGATTTTTGTTTAGTGGAAATATCAAGCAATAGATCATATTGCTTTAATCTCATATTATTTTCAATCTCGTGTAGTGTTTTTATTAATATTATAATTTTTATTAATAACTAATTATAAAATTATATTAATAACTAATATAATTTTTTGTAATTTGAATTAAAATTGTATTAAAACATGATTTGGTAATTTAGTAAAGTATACGATTGTATTGTATATTTTCTTTTACTAAACTTAGTCTGGTAAAAATTCCTTCATTTTAATCTCTATTTATGTTTTTGGATAATGTCTTTTGTGATATTTTTTATTTTATAAGAAAAATATTTTGTGATCGAGAAACATACATGGCAAAAAAATCATCCAATAGTTTCGAGAAATGCTTCTACATGTAATTGCTCGTATTGTAATTTATAATATATCATAGCTTTTTTCCTATTGTGCCTTAGTCATACCCAATGCCGAATAGAGCGATGGCTAGACGTATGGCTGCTTTGCAAATGTGCATCGATCTACATCGAGAAAACGAGATAGACGATAATTTGTTACCTATCGGAAAGGAAAACTTTAAAGCCAAGCCTGAAGATGCAGAGGTACCTGCTTTGCCAGATGAAAGCAGAGCTGATTTTTCAGAAGCTAGACCAGGGACGACAAAACGGAGACAATATTACTATAAAAAAGTCTATCATTTTTTTTCTTTTAAAATGTATTATACAGTTGAACAACTATAGTTGTTTAAAATTTGTATTATTTTTTTCCAGACAGCTGAGGCATTAACAGATTGTAGACCAATAGTTGGAGTACCATCTTATCTGTATCATATAAATATGGTGCTAAGTTGTCCTTTACCTGAAGAACAAAATACACGAGGCAGACGCATTTATCCTCCTGAAGAATCAGCTATTGGATTTGGCATACTTACATTAAAGGAGATACCTAAGGTGATAATTTCTTTTTTTTCGATCTCCTCCCTATTCGTCTAATAATAATATTTATTTAAGAAAGACTTATAATTCTTTTAATGTGCTTTATGTAATTTCTTTCTCTTTTATAGTTGTGTCCCTTCCCTATTTATACTAGATCAGGCGAAGTTCATGTGCAATTAAAACTTAGTAAGAAGACTGTAATCCTGGACGAGTTTCAAATAGAAAGAGTTGACACTTTCCTTAATTATACTTTTACAAACGTTTTAAGATTGCAGAAATATCTAATGCTTTTCGATCCAAATGCTTCCGAGAATTCATATATAATTGTACCAGTAAAAATATGTGAGTATAAATGTGTATTAGAAAACGGAACAATGTAAATCTAAAACTTTATTCTTCAGATGAAGCTTAAAATTATTAATGGCTCAAAATTATTAACGATTTTACACAATTTTTGTTCCTTTCAAAGTCAAAATTAAAAGGATAATATATTCAGACATGTAATAAAGATGAATATATTATATTATATTATAGTTTTATGATAATTTTATATAATATCTTTTATTTAATATATAAGATAGTTTTTATTTAAAAAAATATAAATTTATAAACTACATCATTACGAAGACGTTTCATATAATTCTTTAATACGTTCGTTTTATTAATTTTGAAATAATTACATTGTTTACAAGTTATATAGAGATTAATAGACATTTGATGTATTTTGGTCTATGATTTATATATATAAAGCTAATTACAACGATATGATACTTTTGAGGCTTTCATCGAGTATTTTCTTGAAAAAAAACTACGCTTGGTTTACGGATTATTTTCTGTCTTGATATATCGTATAAATAGATTATCGGGATGTTGCATATCACTATGGCCTCTCCATATTTTTTTGAAAAATATGTCATGGTAGCTATTTACTGTTTTATTAAAAAGTATTTGGTGAATTGTCTCAATGTTATGTTCAGACAAAACTGACTATAGTATGCTTTAATTTAACGTCTCATCGTAGTTCTTTCATGTGTAGATTGAAATATATTACCTCTGTTTCTCTAATGTGCACTTTTCCGCAAGAGCAAGATATTTTGTACTTGCGTCTAAAAATAAAAAATCCTCTACCCCCTCATATTTGTCCAGCTCTTTCCCCTTATGTTCATTTCATTAGCAGCGTACATAAAAGGAAACCTCCTTTACAAAGAAACGGCTCAAGTTGTTTCTCATCTTGATTAAATGAACTACAATGTTTTCAAAACGTTGGCATTTAACGATGTATCAAAATAGGAAAATATAACCCGCAAATCGCATAGCTTCTTTACAACGTTATAAATATATTAAAATCGATGATTTTCCATTTATTCTTTTCTTTCTTCTTCGAAATACGAAATCTTTTAGAGAGACCGTCGTAGAATTTAATACTTGTTAACTTTTTAGTCGCAACATGTGAAGGGTCAGATATTAGCGTAGATTGGAACTTTTTGGAATGCATTTATCAGAACAGAAATGCGGTACCAACCAAGATTCCAGAAGAAGATAGAAAAAATTTCAAATTTGATCCATCCAAATATTACGATGCTGTAATCATGCCGTGGTATAGAAGTCAAGATCAACCACAGGTGTATATATATTTAAATGTAAATTAAATATATTGAAGTGTGTGTGCGCGCGCGCGCACGTGTGTGTGTGTGCAAAATCTCGTCTTATGACCTTTTGCGATACATTTTTTACTTCTTTTTAGTATTTCTATGTAGCGGAAATATGCACAAACTTAAATCCAAAGTCTTCTTTTCCCGGACACGATTATAGTACTTTTGAAGAATATTACTATAAGAAGTATGGCATACAAATACAAAATTTAGAACAATCGTTATTAGATGTGGATCATACATCAGCTAGACTAAACTTTTTAACCCCTAGGTGAAGCCTGTGAAACAAGTATTTATCGAGGCATTCATCTTTTAAACACCAATTTAATTATTTATTCATTTTAGATATGTAAATCGCAAAGGTGTTGCATTGCCTACAAGCAGTGAAGAAACCAAACGCGCAAAGAGAGAAAATTTAGAGCAGAAACAAATTCTTGTTGCTGAATTATGCGCCATTCATCCTTTTCCAGCGTCTTTATGGAGACAAGCGGTCTGCTTACCCTGCATATTGTATAGAATTAATGCTTTATTACTTGCTAATCAAATACGATGTCAAGTGGCATATATGATAAATTTAGGACAACAAAATTTGAATTTAGGTATGCAATATATATATATATATATATATATATATATATATATATATATATATATATATTTGTCTATATTTTGAGAAGACATTTCACAGTAACAATAGAATTAGAGAATCTTCTAACAATTAAAATAATGACTTGAGTGAGATTAATATTTACAGTTACTTGATAAATTATTTTAGATTTTGAATGGCCGGCGTTAGATTTTGGATGGAGCTTGGCAGAGGTATTGAAAAGGTCAAAGGAAACGGAGAAAACGAAGCAGGTTAAAAGTGAAAATGCACAAGACAACTCGTCTTCAAACAGTATAGATATCAGTAAATGTCAGAATACGATATCTGGTCAAGACACAAATAATAAACAATACACATTGTGCAATGAGATTGAGAAACAAATAAAACTGGAATCCGACAACGCACGAACCGATGAAGAAACGGAAGAAGATATTGCCGATGAGCAAAAAGATGATGAGCTGGAGATTGGTACATGGTCAAACGACATGGCATGGTCAAACGACGTGACTATGAGTATGGATTATGATGCGGATAATATGAAATCGTTTCCTCTAAATGTGACAGTCTTGCCGCAAAATTTCGGTTGGAATGATATTCGATATGGTTCGCCAACGTACGAATCTGATTTTGATGGTTACGAATCAGATGACATATATAGCGATGGCTTTGCTGACACATCTGACGAGAGTGAGGATGAAAGTAGAGGTTTGAAGATCTCTTATATGGGTGAAAATGTCGCCGAAGCTGTAGAAGACGAGAAACAAATATGTAAGCAGGAAATTAACAAAAAGATCTTGGATCTTTTGGAAACAGAAAAGAATTTTGATAATAACTTTTGGATGTATACAGAGAAGGACGAAGAGTTATTACTTGTGAAACATAAGGAAGCGCATTATGAATTCGCTAAGAGAAAAGAACACGATATAATGATCGACGGTACTTTTATATCTTATAATTCTGAAATTGCAATTAAAAGGAAGAATTCGTCGAGTTGCCAAATTGAAAGTAAAGAACCGAATTATAAACACAAAGATTATATAGAAACTGTTGTAAAAAGATTTACTGACCAAGTATTAAATAGGAAGCCTACTGTACCTACTTGCATGATAAAAAAAGAGATTAACAAGCTAAATGAAAAAAATTATTTAAATAACGATCTCTTTAGTTTTGATTATCAACCGGAATTAAAAGGTCATTCAGGACCAAGTCCTAGTCTGATCCTCCAAGCTTTAACAATGTCAAATGCGAATGACGGCATTAACTTGGAGCGATTGGAAACGATTGGTGACTCATTTCTCAAATATGCTATAACCACATATTTATATTGCACATATGACAATATTCACGAAGGGAAACTCAGTCACTTGAGATCAAAACAGGTACGTATTATGATTATTCAGTAACACTTGTAATATTTGTCAAATTGCTCATTTGTTTTAGGTCAGCAATTTGAATCTTTACAGACTCGGCAGACAAAAAATGCTTGGCGAGAGCATGATAGCAACAAAATTCGAGCCGCATGACAATTGGCTCCCTCCTTGCTATTATGTCCCCAAGGAACTTGAGCAAGCATTGATCGAATCTGGTGTTCCTTCTGCTCTGTGGAATCAAGCTGACATTCCTACTTTGCAAGCTATGAATCCAACCGAAATAACTCAACTCGTTAAAGAGACTGAGGAAAAACTTGTGATTATGAAAAGTGAATTGGATAAAAACGAAAGTAGGCTGTCAAACAATTTAGATAATTTACGATGCTTCATACCTTACAATTTAATCACGCAGCACAGTATCCCAGATAAAAGTATCGCGGACTGTGTAGAGGCTTTGATAGGAGCATATTTAATTGCATGTGGACCTCGTGGGGCGCTTCTCTTTATGACTTGGTTAGGAATTCATGTTTTGCCTACCGAAGAGATTTGCGTGATAAGCGAAAATGAACCGAAAGAAAGGATACCCGGTAGTACGCCATATATAAAGGGAGTTAATGAATATAGGGAAACTACATGGACGCAAGTGAGTAGTTGATTCTTAAAAAAAAAAAAAAAATCTAGATTCGTTTGAAATTCATCAGAGATGTAATGATAATCCGTTTTGATAATCCGTGAAAAGATTTCTGTTGGAAAAAATGCGTCTGGCTATCGATCTAATTTTCGAATTATAAGACATTGAAAAAAAATGGTTTTTCACGCGTAAAATTCCATATGCACAAGTGAGCAGTGCAATGAAATGAAAATTATTTAAAGTGTGAATATATTTTCTTACGTTTTTAAATATCGCATGCACACACAATGACTGTATGTCTTTATACCTATATAATATATAGATATATAAAATTTTCTCTTTCTATTAAATTTTATCTTCTTTTTCTCTTTCTAATTCTTTTTATATATTTATAAGTAATATATTTATATATTTATTATATTTATTATATTTATAAGTATAGTAATATAGAACTAATAATATAAATAATATATTGTAGAACTAGTATCTGGAGAATTAAGTTCCATATATTTATAAAAATATCTAGAATTTAGTTTCATATCTAAAAAAATTTTAGATTTGTTATGGAAAGTTGGAAGAGCCGCAAAATCCATTACTCCGTTACATTCCTGACCCGGAAAGTGAGTTGTATATGATGCTCGATGGATACGAAGAATTAGAAAAAAGTATAGGATATAAATTTCGTGATAGTAGTTATCTTTTGCAAGCGTTCACGCATGCCTCTTACCAACCAAATAGATTAACAGATTGCTATCAACGTTTGGAATTTCTTGGCGACGCTGTATTAGGTATTTTTTTTTATTGGCTAAGTTTTTAATTATTAAATTACAATAATGCGTTATCTCGAAATTATATCTTTTCAGATTATTTAATAACTAGACATTTATACGAGGATTCCCGGCAACATTCGCCAGGTGCTTTAACAGATTTAAGATCCGCTTTAGTCAATAACACGATATTTGCTTCTTTAGCTGTGAGGTGCGGTTTTCATAAATATTTCCGTCATCTCTCTCCTGGGCTAAGTGTGGTAATAAATCGCTTTGTTAGAATACAGGAAGAAAATGGACATTCCATTAGCGAGGAGGTACAAAGAATTATTATTATTGTCATTATTATTATCATTATTATTGTTATCGTCATTATCATTGTTACTATTATTAGCAAATTCAATATAATACAGTCAGCAAAAATCGGTAAAATACCTTTTTTTTTAAATAAAAAAAAGTTTGTGATTTTGTTGTGTCTAATTATATGTAAAGCAAATTTTAGCAATTTTTAATAGACACACATTTGTACATTTGTAAATGTGACAGTAATATATATATCGTGCATTTTAGTATTACTTAATTGGCGAAGAGGAATGTGAGGAAGCCGAAGATGTAGAAGTTCCAAAGGCATTAGGTGACGTTTTCGAATCATTAGCCGGCGCTATTTACTTGGATAGCGGAATGTCTCTCGATGCAGTGTGGAGTGTTTATTACACGATAATGAAATCAGAAATTGGTAAGACCTTGACAAAAACAAATTATTTTTAAACGTTTTAGCATTTCATAAATTTATTAAAGAGATATTGTACAATTGCAGAACAATTCAGCACAAATGTCCCCAAATCTCCAATTCGCGAATTATTAGAATTAGAACCTGAAACGGCAAAATTCGGTAGGCCTGAGAAATTGGCTGATGGCCGTAGAGTCCGAGTAACTGTAGACGTGTTTGGTAAGGGTTCTTTTAAAGGAATCGGACGAAATTATAGAATCGCAAAGTGTACAGCGGCTAAATGCGCTTTGAAGAAATTAAAAAGTAGAATACAGAATTATTCGAGACAAAAACTATGATAAAGTTTGTAAAAGGAAAAATTTATGATAAATTTCTTATTTTCAAAGAATTGTTGGGACATTTAAGTCTCAACTCAAGATTATTACGACGAGTATACTTATTACAATGTTTAAAGTAATCTGCCGCTGGACAGAACGTATAAGCACAATATAACGACTTCGATTGAAACAACACAAGTCTTAACGAAGAAGCTGTTGCATTGAGCCTAATCGTATTAATTGTTCCAACAGCGAGTTGGATATAATATGAAATATGAATAAATAAGCTATTTACATGTGACTGATAATAAAGTTTAAAGATGGGAGAGGTAGATAATTTGAAATATTTTATTTAGTATTATGCAATGCATCAAATGCAATGTTATCTTGTCTTTGATAATCGAATAGATATCTTTTTAGGTATCGAATATTGAGATATCGAAGATAATTTTAGATATCGAATTTATATAAATCTATTCTTTAACATTTCTTTAAAAATTAGACAGTCTTTATTTCATCTCTTTTTACATTCTCTTCAAAACACGTTTATTCGAGAATATATCTTAACGTACAACATTAAAAGATTTTGAGAACGCATCACATTTTTTCAGTTCATTTTAGGTTTGTTGATTTGCCAAAATATTTTATATAATTGTCATTGTCTCAAAACTCTAGTCATGCTAGCGTTGTTGATCGTTTTATAATCTCTATTTACATTGTATGTATATAGTAACAAAATTAATCCGGAAACGGTCATTCCCATATGTAGTGTAAAGTAATCGCGTGTTAAATTCATATAAAACTGTTTTTATTGTCTTTTGATCGTTTGTTATAAATTTTTCTTGAAATGTTTCATAATGGATTTTTACTATAAAAAAATTTTATTTTTGATTTTTTTGTTTTATTTTATACAAAACATATATATATATATATTAAATATATATATATATTAAATATATATGTATATATGACACCTTATATCATGAAGTTAAATTATCCATGTGTAATACATCATGACATCATGTATATATGACACTTTATATCATGAAATTAAATTATTCATGTATAATACATCATGACTCAATGCGATCGTTTCCGGGTTAAAGAAAAAAAGTTTATATACATATATATATTTATATATAAAAAAGTGTACGATATGTCTGGAAATCTGTACTTATTTTCTTGCTGAAATTATACTCACAAAAGAAAAATAACTACGGCAGCTCAATAATCGATACAATTACATTGAAAATAACACGAAATAGTGATACAAACAACAAATGAAATAACATCAACTCCTAGCATTATTTCATTATTTTTTATTGCAATGCAGATTATTACGCATAGAATAAGCATGTTAAGTAAAAGTCCTGTGACTTTTGTGAGTTTTGTAAAAGAAAGGATAAATAAAATGTTTTATAATATATGAAGTTTTCTAATTTAAGCAGATTAAAAACAATAGTACTTCATCTACAAGATGAATTATAAAAATGACAGTGTATGTTAATCTTAAAAATTTTTACAAAATGTATTTACAATAATGTAATCAAATGTAATATACAAAATATTATAAAAGGACTGCGATGCACCAAGGGCTGCGGTGCGTAGGTCAAACTAATGCAGGATCTACAATAGAAGCGATCATAGGATCTTAAGTCGTAGAAAATTAACCAATCTGAGATTAATCAGATGATTGGTCAATTTTTTACGATTTAAAGGCCATTGCATGTAAAAGGCGTAATCGTAAAGGCCATGGCAAACAAAAAACTTAAGCAGTAAAACATAAGCAATAAGGGAATTGATCAATCATAGTAGAGTCCGTAAGACCATAACATAAATCAATTAAACATGTTGATTTCCTTACTGCTTATGTCTTATTGCCTCAAGTTTCTTTGTATGCCATGACCTTAAAAGCATCGTCTATAATGAACAGTAGCAGTAGAGACTGTGTAGACATATATATCGTGAGTAAACTGGTTTTTCGACCCAGCCAGAAATGGTTGATCGATTAATGTCAAATCAATATTAATTCGATATTGATCGATCAATCATTTGTAGGGGATGTAATAGGGCATAGAGTACATAGTAAATCCATAAGCGAAATGGATTTCAATCATTTCATTAATATCTCGGTTTGCGGGGTCGATCCAATGTTTTTTCTTATATATTCTTTTGCTTTGAGCAAAAACGTGTCAAATGAGCATGATTTTATCAAAATCGGAGGTGCAGTCCGTATTCTAAACATTATCTAAATCATTTTTCTTTGTATTTAAGGGAGCCTTATTTCAAATGAATACAAATATTTATATTACAAACCTTTCTAATTATTATAAATAGTACTATTTGTAACAATTTACACTTAAAATATAATATATATATATATATATGTAATTGTATATAATTACAATCAAGTACCTAATCGACTGTAAAAGAGTGCTATTGCAACATCTTCGCACTCGGAAGTCATTAATACATCCCGAAATTTATCCAAAAGTTGTAACAATTGAGATCTGCGAATATTTTCTAAATACATAATCTCCTCTAGGTGATAATCACCGTCAAAATAGCCAAGACGACACAATCTATCGAGTAATTTTCTATCATTGGAAGGAATATCATAATCTTCCGATTGATAGTCATATAGCGCATCCTCTTTATCTGTGAGTGACAACTCCTCTTTGATTTCAGTCGGCGTTCCTTTTGGTGTCTCATTTAAACTCCATATACTTTCGCTTTCTTCCATTGCAATTGTATCATGTGTTTCTTGGTCCTGTGTATCCTAAGTACAAAAGAAAATTTGAAAAAAGTTTACCGAGGTTGAAATATGTATCATAATAAATATAAAATCGAGTTGTAACTATTCTTTTTCTTTTCCATCCTCTTCCTTCTTCCAATTTTTTAAATTAATTTATATAATGGAAATATATGATTAATTTTTATCTTAAAATTATATTATCAATATTATACTCAAGATGAGAATCTCTTACACAAATAATAAAAATTAGATCACAGAATTAACCTTTACAGGATGGAAAACTACTATAATAGCGCAGAAATAAGTGTCATTTTGAGGGAAGGATTGCAACGAATTGCAATAAATATTAATTGAAGAAAAGCTATAAAATTAAAAAAAAAAGTATATCCTTTTTACTTCTAAACGTCTTTCCCATTTCAATTCTCATCAATTTTGCCTATGTAAATATATTTTTTATTTCGCTAATAAATTATGTGTTTACTTTGTAAATTACCAATGATAAACGTCCATATACTGTTGGTATGTAGCGCACATATGTATGCAATTGTAAGAGCAAATGATTTTTTAATAGCCATATAATTATCTTTACCAACTGCGTTTGCTGCTGCGGCTGGCTCAAAGGATTCAACTTTTGGCTAATTGAAGTTGGTAGAGAAAAATCATTGATTACCTAAAAATACACAACATGTTTAATATAATATACATCAAATTCAATGGTATTCAATAATAAAGTTTTATTTACATCACGTAGTTCAGTTTAAATTTAAAAAAAAAAGTTAAAGTTAATACGTATTATAAATAGGTGCAAAACCAGAAAATTATGATGCATATACTTGAAGTAAGCAGATTCCTGGGAAGTGTTCAGAGAAAGAATCCAACAGCTGATTAGTCAAAATAGCGTCGGGGGAAACAACATAAACATTGCTTTCGCAAAGTGGATAAATTATTGTAGCCTTTGCCCAATAAACTAAATGGCCAGCTAGCTGAAACACCTGTGCAAGTGTTAAATCTGAATCTGCGGCTAAAGTTTGCAAACTTTTCAATGGATTATACATCTGAATCAAACGTTTAAGCGCTGGTGAGCAGTCTATTTGCAAAGATTCTAATAAATCCAATGGCTCAGTTAATAAGAGTATGCCATGATAAGGTCTTAAACTGTTTAAACATCTGCAAAACATATGATATGATGTGTGATAGATACATTTAAAGTTGTACGCAGTGAAAGTGGAAATCAAGAATATCCATCAAAATCTCAAAATTGAAGGTAGTTTGATTTTAATAAAAAATTTCAGTTTGAATTTAAAAAAAATTTCAAAAAGTATAAAAAAATAATCGCTTAAGTAATCATTGAAGTTTCATATACAAAAACTTTATTGAATGTACCATTTCTTATAAACATAACATTTTTCATCTTTAATTATTATATTAAAATTTTTTTATTTATAATTTATATATACTCCATACATCTTGTATCTGGCATAAAAATGTTATTAAACAAACCTGTCTATAATCTCGGGGTCGATGAGCAATCCTTTTTTATGTGATTGATGAACCTTTTGTGGAAGGCAGAAACGAACTTGAATCCACTTGTTAATTATGATACTGACAATGCCAGAAGAACTGAGATTGCTAAATACGGATTTTAAACCACGTGCTAATGAGCTTCTTTGAAGAATTAATTCATATGGTGATTCGTCGCAATCGCTTTCACCTTCAGATCTAAACATATATAAACTTATAAATGTACCTTAACAAATAATTTTATGAAAAATAAAAAAATTGAATAAATATTTTATCACCTTCCAGCAATCTCATCATGTGTTGATACCATTATCTTTATCTCATCTGTCAGAAAGCCACATCTTTTCTCTTCGTGTCTCAACGCTATGCCTAATCTAAGCACATGAAAATGCTACTTCGGAATATTATAAATATTTTTTGCACATTTGTTGAAATTATATTACCTTTTGCTTAGATCATAGTAACATTTTACTATTGAATGATTTGCTTGTGCTTGCAGCGCAAAAACTATATTGAAAAGCATAGACGAGTTTACTTCCTTTAAGCCACGAGATAAAACTAACGTTGGATGTCCAACAAAGCGAACATCATTTACTTTTAATTCAAATTTCTGTTCACATAATTCTGGCTTTACAGCAAATAAAGTAGAGAGGACTTCATCCGTTAAACCGGTTAAATTTCCATTACTTATGTTTGATGTTGGAAACGGTAAGGACTGTCGAATATAATAAAACATATTACCAAATTAATAGTCACATAATTAAAGACAGAATTAAAGAAGAATGCAATTACTAATTTTTTCGTAAAAGCTATATGATGTTTAGATAAAAAAAAACCTGCAATAAATCTTCCGTATTAGTCAATGAATAAGGATTCTTCCGTTTTGTGTACTGATTCAAATCTCTTACATGATTTGTCATATGCGGATATCGAAATAATAATCTATCACCTTTGCTATCGCTTTTTACCAAAATTATACTCAATGGATGGATTCCCATGTTTTTAAACCATGTAAATAATTTTTCAACATGTTATCATATGCGGAGAGAAATTTAAGAGAGGACAAGACAGCCCAAAATCTATAACCGCAAAATACTGCCCCGCACTACTGTCCTCTGACAAAGTGAATGTAAACTGCATAGCAACGTTCACTTTTCTTAGGATACGTCCACTTTTCAAGGCTGAAAATGATAAATCCATATTTGGTTCATACATACAATTCACGTGTGCACGATTCTTAGGATATCCATGCACAAAGAGAAACCTAAGAGAGGCTATGTCGGTTTTTTTTTTCCAGTTAGTCCGTCGAAATCGCATGTACACTACCGCCAGTACATCCATTTTCAATTTGAGAACTACGTGACTATATCCATTTTCTAATACTATTGATAAAATTGTATCGTCGAAAGTGGATGTGATTCGTCTCTGTAATAAATCTTTAGAACAGAACCGTGCCGGCTATATCCATAAAAGGGATAGTTTAACGGGATAGTTTTAATCCTTAAACAAAATAATTTTAATTTTACATCTACATATGAAAATAAAAGTTGTGAATTTTAATAAACAAAATAGAAAATTCAAACAAGTTAATTTAGTGAATTTTGTCTTATAACATCATCTTATATAATTACGAAGTTGTTTCTTTATGCAAATTTTCAGTCCGTTTTTATCAAACATAACTATAGTATAACTCATTTATTTTAGAATAAGACGTGAATGATTCTGTCATTCCCATGTTATTCTAAAATAAAAGAGATATTGATCCAATTCGCCGCCATCTCCCTTGGCCAGGGGACTTTTTTTTTTTTTTTTTAGGTGGGGATGGAGTCAACAATGTCGGAATTTTTTTTTAAATTTCAAGGAGACTATCTTATAGATCTCGATGGGCAAAACTCAAAATATGGAATACATTTTTGCCCTATGGTTCACGATTTCGTAGAGGGCTCTGAAGTTAAAAAAAAAAATATCGGAATTTCATGCTTCGCATTTATTTTTTTATTTTCTATTTTTTTTCCCATATATGGGATCATCTAAAAAGTATCCGCAGTTTTTAGATGACCGAATAATAGGCCTCGAGGGAAGTTCTATTCAAAAAAGTTCTATACAACTTTGTCGTATCTGTCACCGTTTGGGCTGTGGACTTTTTGGAAAGTTGATAAAACATTAAAAGGATCATTTGAGGGGTGGGTCACCGAAGGGGGTGGTCATGAGGGAAAAAATTGTTACTCTCATCGAGATACATCGATACCCCCACACGCAAAATTTAATTTTGGATTGTCAAAATTTGAAATTTCTCTAAGTTTCACTCAAAAAAGTGTCTAGTCGACGTAGAGAGTCGAAATAGGCATGCAGGACCAAGAATAAGAATTTTAATTTTTTTTTTGTTTTTTTTTCTTTTTTTGTCCCACACCCTTCAAAAATGAAGGAAAAATGAGGGTATCGAAGAGCTATGAATGATAGACGTCTATCAAAGTTTTGGGAATTTGGGTTATGTTTGGAAAATTAAGGAATTTGGGTTAGTTCCACCATTTGTCGATATTTCGGTCAGTTCGGGAACCACTAGATGTCGGTTAGGTCGGCGGAGTGGGTTAGAGTTAGAGTTAGAGTTAGGTTAGGTATAGGTTAGGGTATAGGGGTTAGTACAACTTGCGAATTTGAGATTAGATTTTTTCCATATAGTACTCACTTGGGTCTACCTTCCCCTGGTATTGGTCCCCCCCTCCAGCCCCCCTTGGCCTGGGGACTTTTTTTTAGGTGGGGATAGGATCAAAAATGTCGGAATTTGAAAATTTCAAGGATGCTATCTCATAAATCTCGATGGGCCAAACACAAAAGGTGGTATACAATTTTGCCCTAGGATTCACGGTTTCGTAGATAGAGGGCTCTGAAGTCACAAAAAAAATAAAAATGTCGGAATTTCAAAAGTTTCGCATTTTTCCCATACAATAGAGAGAAGACGAAAATGTTCTATACAATTTTGTCGTATCTGTCACCGTTTGGGCTGTGGACTTTTTGTAAAGTTGACAAAACATTAAAAGGGTCGTTTGAGGGGTGGGGGGTCACCGGAGGGGGGTGGTTATAAGGAACAAAGTTGTTCCTCTCGTCGAGATACATCGATACCCCCACCCACGAAAATTAAATTTCTGGTTTTTGAAAATTTTGAAATTTTTCAGTCCCACTCAAAAATGAAAAAGTGTCTAGACGACGTACAGAGACGAAATAGGCATGTAGGACCAACTTTAAGAATTTGAATTTATTTTTTTTTTTTAAAT